AAACTAAAACTACCATTTTCTGTTTATTTAATACCGAAAACACCCTATTGTACATTGATACTGGTGTGTTGTTTACATACGAGTTACAAACAAATCATTATTGTAATATGAATAGTTTGATAAAATCCGAACGTGTTCGACCGTAGCATATTATCCGAACGAACGAACAAAATAATTTTTTTCAACCTTGCGAACGAACAAAACAGTTTCTTTTTATGTTGACGAACGAACGGACGGACGTTCGAAGCCAACACTAAACCACGATAATCGTATAACTGCGCAACGATCAATGGAAAATAAAATGAAATGCACCTTTCTTATATACTCGCATTTATATATTGTTTATTCAACTTTGAAATGGAATGACAGGGAAAAAAGACAGCAAAAAACGAATTTCTCACCACATAAAGACTCTTAATCGAAACAAAAACAGTTAAAAGAAATGGATAGTAAATAACAAGCAATGGAGGACACGTGCAAATAAAAGCACATTGCTTCTTCGCCGCCACGCTCTGCAATAAGTTTAGCGATGAAATTAAAACGAATGTTAGGATAAGTTCATTATATTCAATCTACCTTTGGATCATTGATAAAATCAAGGAAGAGGGAAAGGGGAAGAAAGATTCCACGACCACCTGTTGACGTTCCATTTACACCCTGGTTTATGTCCATGATTTCGCCATATGTTTCTGAGACAACTCGTCCGCTAGGATCGCCAGGTGGTTCAACAATTTCACCATCCGGCCATGAAGAACACTGCCTGATTTGGTGGCTTAGATGACATATACTTTACATCACAACGTCTTAATATGTTTGGTTCGCGCACTACCCCATAACCATGGTACCCAAGTGCGAACGTTACGTCTTTTAAAAGACGTAGTTCACGCATTCGCTAGGGGAATTTCTCACGAAAAAAATGAATGAATTCTTATAAATTTTGAAAAATTTCTTCAATTCGGTCCGATTCGATCAACTTTTGTCAATTCGTGTAAATAAATGTACATTTACACTGAACTTTTGAATTATGCTTCAATGAAATTGTTCTGGAAGTGGGTTTTGGTGGATCTCAAGGATCATTCAGAACTGCTCCCGGTTCTGGAAGTGGATCTTCAGGATGGGCCAGGGCAATGTCAAACCGGATCTGGTCCATCCTGAGGATCCACCAAAACCCACTTCCAGAACACTTTTATTCAAGCAAAATCGTCATTTCAGTACATTTTCATACAATTTCAATTAAAAAGAAGAAATAATAGAAATTTTTGCACATTTGCTCAAAATTTTTGTGTGAGAAATACCCCTAGCGTATTCACGCCTTTCTCACGTCTTCTATATAATTACCACACGAAAGACGTACGTCTTCTGTGCACTTATAATTGGTATAGCTGAAATTTCAGCCATTATCGCGTATTCTGTATACCATTGCACAGAAGATGCACGTCATTTAGAGAGGAAATTATATAGAAGGCGGGAGAAAAGCGTGAATACGTGAACCACGTATTTTTAAAGACGTAGCGTTCGCACTTGGGATGCAAGCATAAGTTGTATTGGATTTTCTTGTGAATCCAAATTAATTAGTTTTGAAAAATGGTTTAGATTCAAGAAAATCATAAAGTCTCTCATATATGCATGCTTCATAAATTTTTGATTCGGTATTGAGAATGGAAATTGATCTATACATTTTGTAGTCTGACTTGTCACCACATTTTTTATAAACTGGAGTAATTTTGGCCATTTTTAGATTATCCGGGAAATTACTCAACTCAATTGGTTGGTTAAAGTTATATGCCAAAATTTTACTAAAAGATTCTGGGATTTTTTTATATAATTTCGATGAAACGCCATTGATGCCAGCTGAGTTGCTGTTATTTGGATTGAGAATAATTTTAGAAATTTCACCCTCATTTGTTGGATTGAGAAAAATTGAATTTGGACTGTCATAGAGCCCAGTGAAATTGAGATTCAGTTGATTTAAATCACCAATTCATTTTTGATTTCAATGTCTAGATTGTTCGTTCAGATTGTTCGTTATAAATTAGCTCAATAATATTTTTCCAAAATTGTTTCAGATTGATTCTACTAACGATCAAGAGCTCGATTTTATGTTTCTGTTCCTACAGATGATAGACTATCATTGATAAAAAATAACATACAGCATGTCCCTCACTATGGTGGCAGTTAAGAACAAATCAATCATGAACCAGTTTGTCATCACTTAATGACGTGAACAATTTCCATTGAAATAAAAAGACCAGATTTTATACATATTTGATACATTTTCGTATTTGTTTTTATTTAATGCAAATTGATGATCAAAGTTGTACCTAACGATGTGATCAATTTCAAGTTTAATTCCTTGGCAGCAGACAGCTACTTGTGATATTTTTTGTGTTGACTGAGATGTGCCTTTTGCGAGAAGCACTTCGAGCATACCTCACATCGGTATAGTTTTTCGCCAGTGTGGATTCGCATGTGCTCCATCAAATGTGTTTTCTTATCAGTTGTATAGCTCTTGCACAAATCGCATCGGTATCCGCGACGCTTGCAGTTATCTTCATGATTTTCCTTTTCCTTCTGTTGGGCGAAGTTTTTGAAGCAAGATGAACACTTGATTTTCAATGGACGAGGATTGGCGTGGGAATTGCGGTGGCATATCAAATTACTTCTTTGATTGAATGTCTTTGAGCATTGGTCACATTCGAATGGTCGCTCGCCGGTATGCACGCGCAGATGAACTTCCAAATTCGTCTTATGCAAACTAGAGAATTCCTTGCAGAGATGACACACGTAGCGACGCACCTTGCAACCGGTTTCATGTTCCACTTTCCCCTCGCTGTGATGAAATCCTTGCGAACAATTTGAGCAGCTGAACAGAAATTCATCGACGTGTGTTTTCATGTGCGATTGGAGATGTTGTTTTTGGGTGAATCGTTTTTGGCACACGCTGCATGGAAATGGTCGTTCGCCGGTGTGCTTGAAAATGTGTCTTTTCAAATCGGTTGTAAAGTCGGTGACATAATCGCATAATAAACACTTGTGTCGCTTTTCATTCGCATTGCCTTCAGTTAGCTTATCCTTGTCATCAAAACTGTTGGCTTTGCTATTTTTCCCGGTTATAGCTGCACCGCCATTCAACCCACTTGACTTCTGATTCTTGTCCTTGGAAAGATGCTTCTTTGGAATGCTTTGTGGCGTTTGTTCTTTGCCAAAGCTTCTTCCTGGAACTTGTTTCGCCCCAATCTCGACGTTTTCAATCTTTACTTCCGATTTTACCTCATCCAAGTCGTAGAAATCAAAGTGAACGCCGGTGTCAGTCATTTCTGTACCACCAATCGAATTGTCAAGCGATCCAATGGCCGTGTGTGCTGACCGCGACACCATCAATATTTCGTTGGAGACTTCATTCTCTTGTTTAATGGTTGGCTCCTGTTTGATTTTCATTCCACACAAAATCGATTGATTTTGTAATGTAATGTCACTGAATTGCTGCCTATCAGGCGGTTCTGTACCGTGACTATTCATCGCTATGCAATTTTGGTGCTGTCAATCAGAAACCAGAATGACCTTTTGTTAGAACCACATATGAAAACTTGGAAAAATACATTTTTTTTTTGTTAAAACTCACCTTACTGCACAGCTGTTTTTTATTGTAAGAAATTGATCACAATCCACACGTTTTATTTCGTTATTGCAAAAATAAATCGGTCGAAAATCTAAACACAGCGAATAAGGTATAGCTTGCAAAAAAATGCGTGTTAAAATGATTCTGTTGAGCAGAGCAAAAATGGCGTCGCGAATAAAAGAAAATATTTAGTTTGACGTGTAGTCGATGCTCGGATATGTGAGATATGCTGAAGAGACGATGAAATAGCAAAAGACGAATAGCGCAAACAGTCACATAATGCAATGACAAGTGTCAAAAGATGAATTTCGAAATATATTTCTTTTCTTTTACTATATATAGTGTAGTGTTGCCAGTGACTCTTGAACTTTTCGATGGATTCGGCTTGCACATTTTAAAAATGTACGGATTATAAATTGTAAGCAGCGGATATTTTATTTCCGCAAACTAATTTTTTTCTCCGCACTTCGATAGATGTCCTCTCTATCAATTTGCTAAGAAATCAAGGTTTCAAGAAATAGCAATTGCAAGTGGAATTTACGAATGGATATTCGATGTCAATGCTTTTTGTCTCTGCATACATTTCTTCGAAACCGATCCTAAAACTTGACACCGAATAAGCGTTGAATCTTGGCCAATTTTAGGAAAAGTAATAAATCTTAAAGCTCCCAACGATCTCTGGGTTTAAGAGAACCCAAAAACTTGTTTTTATCAAACGATACCAGTCAAATCGGTATTCTAATTTTATTCACAGAGGATTGACATTGTGGATCGCAATTGATTACAATCAATGATTCTACTAACGATCAAGAGTTCGATTTTGGGTTTCTATTCCTATGGATGATAGTCTATCATTGATAGAAAATAGCATATAGCATGTCCCTCACAACAATATGCGCTATAAATGGAAAATATTCAGCAATGCATGCTCTAACGGCATCTATACGGTTTAGTTTGGAAGTATAAAAAATGCAGAAATGTCTGTAAGAAATAACATTTCAAACGTTATTCATGATTCAAGTCAGTGAACTTCCGATAGGGACAAAAGCAACTCTGAAAAGTTTTGGAATTGCTGAATATATAACCATTGCGCTTCATAGCGTTGGTCCCTCACTATGGTGTTAGTTAAGAACAAATCAATCAATGAACCAATTTGTCAACATTTAATGACGTGAATAATTTTCATTGAAATAAAACGATCAGATTTTATATTTGATAAACTTTCCTGTTTGTTTTCATTCAATGCAAATTGATGATCAAAGTTGTACCTAAAGATGTGATCGATTTCAAGTGTAATTCCTTGGCAGCATACAGCTACTTGTGCATTTTCTTGTGTCGGTTGAGATCAGCCTTTCGCGAGAAGCACTTTGAGCAGGTTTCACATCGGAATGGCTTTTCACCACTGTGGACTCGCATGTGGCTCATCAAATGTGCTTTCTGATCAGTTGTGTAGGTCTTGCACAAATTGCATCGGTATCCGCGACGTTTGCAGTTGGCTTCGTGATCGTCTTTTTCCTTCTGTTGTGCGAAGCTCTTGAAGCAAGATGAACACTTGATTTTCAATGGACGAGGATTGACGTGAGTTTTGCGGTGTCGTTCCAAAGTTCTTGGGTGACTAAATTTCTTTGGGCATCGGGCGCATTCGAATGGTCTCTCGCCGGTATGCACACGCAGATGATCTTTCAAATGATGCTTCATCAAAGTAGAGAAATCCTTGCACAGATAACACTCATAGCGACGAACTTTGCAACCAGATTCATGTTCCACCTTTTCCTTGCTGCGATCAAATCCTTGCGAACAATTTGAGCAGCTGAACAGAAACTCATCGACGTGTGTTTTCATGTGAAATTGGAGACTTTGTTTTGTTGTGAATTTCTTTTGGCACATACTGCATGGAAATGGTCGTTCACCAGTGTGCTTGAACATGTGTGTCTTCAAATTGGTTTTAATATCAGTGACATAATCGCACAAGGAACACTTGTGTCGCTTTCCATTTGTCTCGCCTTCAGCTGGTTTTTTGTTGCTACCAAAACTATCAGCTGTGCTACTTTCCCCGCTTTTGGCTGATCCTTTCTTTGTCACACCATCATCCGATTCACTTGATGTTGGTTTCGGGAAACGTTTCTTCGCATTGTTTTGTGGCTTTCGGTTTTCGTCAGAGCCCATCCGTGGAACTTGATTCGCCTCATCTTCAACATTTTCAATCTTCACTTCCGATTTCACCTCATTCAGATTGACATGATCGAAGCAATCGTCAGTATCATTCACATGTTCACTTCCAATCGAATTGTCAAGCGGTCCAATGTCTGTGTGTGTTGCCATCGCAATACCAACTTCTGGCTCTTGTTTGACGGTCGTTTCCTGTTTTATTTCCACTTCGGACAAAATCGATTCATTTGGCAACGCGATGGCATCGGATTTGTGTTTATCAGGCGGCTCTCTTCCGTGACCATTCATTGCGATTGCGATACAATTTTGGTGCTGTCAATCAGAAAATCAGAATGTTCATTGAATACCTCACAAGAATTTTTTTTTTGGAAAACTACACTTTGGTATTAAAACTCACCTTTTTGCACACAAATTAGTTTGCTTTTATTTCGTCAATGCAAAAATAAATTAGCCAAAAGGCAAAATCCTTCGAATAAACTATAGCTTGCAAAAATTGCGTGTTGGAATGACTTTTTGAGCGGGGCAAAAATGGCGTCGCGAATAAAAGAAAATATTTGGTTTGACGTGTAGTCGATGCACGGAGATGTGAGCTATGTGCTGATGCGCTGATGAAATAGCAATGGACGAACAGCGCACTCAGTCACACATTCCAATGACAAGTGTCAAAAGTCGAATTTCGAAATATGGTGTACCTAGTGTTACCGCAGTGACTTTCGGATTTGTTGATGAATTTAGGTTGCATATTTTCAAAATGTGCGAATTATAATTTGTAACTTAAAATGCAGCGGATATTTCACTGAAGAGAAAAATGATTAGTTCCTTATAGATTTGTAATGTTGCACCGAAGAATTGTGACATCTTCAACCCTTTAAGTAACCGAAGCCTTGCGAAAAATCGTATTTTGATATATATGAGTCATATTTAACCGCTTACAAATCAACATTTCATGAAGGAAACAATAATTTCAATTACAATTTACGGCTGGATACTCGTCGAGTATTACTCGATGCCTTTTTGTCTTTCCACACATTTCTTTGAAACCGATTCTGAAACTTGAGAATCCTGAGAACATTGAATCTTGGTAAATTTTGGGCAGATTTTATTAAATCTAACTAACATACACAACCTTGGATTGGAACATAAAAACTTTCATTTATCATACGTTACCATTTTATTCAATTGTTCATAATCAATTATTTGAAGATACACTATACACAAGAGTTCTGTTCTAATCAGAATACGATTCGTTAGAATTCTTGAGTTACAGCGTGTTCAATTAATTGAAATAAAAAGGCCGGTATTTGATTTAATTCGTATTTGTTTGTATTTAATACAAATTGATAATCAAAAGTTGCGTCATTCGATGTTATCGATTTCGAGTGTTATTCCTTGGTAGCAGACAGCGACTTGTGAATCTTCTGGTGTCGATTGGGACTAACCTTTTGCGAGAAGCACTTCGAGCATATTTCACATCGGAATGGCTTTTCGCCAGTGTGGATTCGCATGTGTTCCATCAAATGTGTTTTTGGATCGGTTGTGTAGCTTTTGCACAAATCGCATCGGTATCCACGTCGCTTGCAGTTGGCTTCATGATTTTCCTTTTCTTTCTGTTGGGCGAAGTTCTTGAATCAAGAGGATTGGTGTGAGATTTGCGGTGTTGTTCCAAAGTTCTTGGGTGACTGAATTTCTTTGAGCATCGGGCGCAATCGAATGGTCTCACACCGGTATGCACGCGCAGATGATGTTTCAAATTCCTCTTAAGCAAAGTAGAGAATTCCTTGCACAGATGACACTCGTATCGACGTACCTTGCAACCGGTTTCATGTTCCACTTTCTCGTCGCTGCAATGAAATCCTTGCGAACAATTCGAGCAACTGAACATCGTATAACTTTCCCCTCCCACGGTCAACAACTAAGAACAAATAAATTAGATCAGATTCATAATGAACCAGTTTATTATTTATTTGAATTCATTTCAATTGAAATAAAAAGAACAGATTTTATATTTTATACAATTAAGTATTTGTTTTCATTCAATACAAATTAGTATGCTACTTATAAAATTGTGTTTGAAGTTGTCTTTCGATGTGATCGGTTGTCAGTGCTATTTATTGGCAGAAGTCAGCTACTTGTGGATTTTCTTGTGTCGGTTGAGCATATTTCACATCGGAATGGCTTTTCGCCAGTGTGGATTCGCATGTGCTCTATCAAATGAGTTTTACCATCAGTTGTGTAGCTCTTGCACAAATCGCATCGTGGTCTATCGCCGGTGTGTACGCGCAAATGACGTTTGAAATCCTTTTTATCCAATGTTGAGAATTCCTTGCACAGATGACATTCGTAGCGACGTACCTTGCAACCGGTTTCATTTTCCACTTTCTCGTCGCTGCGATGAAAACCTTGCAGGCAATACGAGCAACTGAACAGAAATTCATTGACGTGGGTTTTTATGTGCGATTGGAGATGTTGTTTTCGGGTGAATCGTTTCTGGCACACGCTGCATGGAAATGGTCGTTCGCCGGTGTGCTTGAGCATGTGTCTTTTCATATGACTTTCGTTGGAAGTCTGATAATCGCACAATGAACGCATGTGTCGCTTTCCGTTTGCCTTGCCTTCAGCTGTCACCTTCTTGCTACCAAAACTGTTTGCTTTGCCACTTTTTCCAACCTTGGCTGAACTTTTCTTCGTCGCACCATCATCCGATTCACTTGATTTTGGTATCGGGAAACGCTTGTTCACATTGCTTTGTGGCCTTTTATTTTCGTCAGAATTCTTGCGTGGAATTTGATTCGCCTTATCCTTAACCTTTTCAATCTTCACATTCGATTTCACATCATCCAAACCATAGAAATCGAAGCTAACGTTGCTGTAATTCACTTCTGTACCGCCAATCGAAATGTGAAGTGATCCGATGGCTGTGTGTGCTGACCGCGACATCATCAATATTTCGTCGGGGCTTCCAGTCTCTTGTTTGATGGTTGGCTCCTGCTTGATTTCCATTTCATACAAAATCGATTCATTTTGTTTTGCAATTTCATTCGATTTGTGTTTTTCAGGTGACTCTATACAGCGGTCATTCATCGCAATTCACAATGCAATTTCAATGCTGTCAATTGGAAATCAGAATGTCTATTAGAAACCAAACACGGAACAAACTCTCGGGAGATTACGCGTTTTTATTATAAATTAGCCGAAACTCCAAATTAAGCGAATAAATTATAGGTTGCAAAAATTGCGTTTGGAATGACGCTGTTGAACAGAGCAAAAATGGCGTCGCAAATAAAAGCAAATATTTAGTTTGACGTGTAGTCGATGCTCTGCGATGTGCTTTGTGCTGAAGCGATGATGAAATAGCAATGGACGAATAGCGCACACGGTCACACACTTCAATGACAAGTGTCAAAAGTCGAATTTCGAAATATGGTGTACCTAGTGTTACCGCAGTGACTTTCGCATTTGTTGATGAATTTGGGTGGCTTATTTGAGGCTGTGAGAATGAAAATGGCAATACAGGAATAAACATTCTGAAACGAAACATAAAACAGCAAACACGCAAAAGTGAATCATGAATGTTTGAGCAGCAGCAGTGAACCACGAGGATCGGTACGTGTGCGTAAATTCATGATTCGCTTCAACAGCGCTCATTCAAGATTCACTTTTGAGAATTTTCTTCCTTAGCGGCACTTCAGTAAAAAATTTTGTTACGTTGCGCATTTGTATGTTTTCGTTTCATGAGTTAGTTTTGAAAAAATTTTATTCATTTCCAAACTCACCGTAGTTTTCATTCAATCCAGACAAAATATATTATTTCAAATCATAGACCTTGATTTGCGTATGTATTTTGTTAGTTTGGAATATCAATAAACAGGAGTATGTTTTTCTCACTTTGGTTGTTGGAAAAGGCAAGTATGTTTGTCCTGCTGCGTTGAAGCAAATCATGAATTTACGCACACGTACCGATACTCATGGTTCATTGCTGCTGCTCAAACATTCATGATTCACTTTTGCGTGTTTGCTGTTTTATGTTTCGTTTCAGAATGTTTATTCCTGTATTGCCATTTTCATTCTCACAGCCTCAAATAAGCCGACCAAATTCATCAACAAATGCGAAAGTCACTGCGGTAACACTAGGTACACCATATTTCGAAATTCGACTTTTGACACTTGTCATTGAAGTGTGTGACCGTGTGCGCTATTCGTCCATTGCTATTTCATCATCGCTTCAGCACAAAGCACATCGCAGAGCATCGACTACACGTCAAACTAAATATTTGCTTTTATTTGCGACGCCATTTTTGCTCTGTTCAACAGCGTCATTCCAAACGCAATTTTTGCAACCTATAATTTATTCGCTTAATTTGGAGTTTCGGCTAATTTATAATAAAAACGCGTAATCTCCCGAGAGTTTGTTCCGTGTTTGGTTGCGCGCTTGTTCATTTAACGATTCTCACACATAGTGTTTGTCCCTTGCATTCACAAGGAAACAGACCGAGAAGCGTATACAACAGACTCCGAGAGAGATTTTTATTTGTTCATTTACCGCTATTTTTCAACAATTCTGCCTATATCCACGCATTGCCACTTTACATAGTTTATAGTCCATAAGAAATGTAGAATGTTCGCCATTTAGTTTTATATTTAATCACTTTAGGTCTGAAGTTAACTATGGGCTGAAGTTGTGAAAAAAAAAATTGAATTTTTTTGTCTGGGCGTTAATGGGTTAAATGAACAAGCGCGCGTCACAGCAAATATGCACGCAACCAACAGCTGCTGTTGAACAGATCTGTTCACCAGCAGCGCTACATAGCCAGCAACTTCAATGCTCTGAAGAATTTAGCAAATCTTAGCAACTTGCACTTGGTATTTGTGCTTCAAACAACCGAAAATCTTATTCTTGTCATATGTCACCATTCGATTAGATTGTTTGTTTTTCTTAATGCTCGGACATTGATTTCATGCTGTGAAAGTGAATTTATCCATGCCAATGAGAATTAGAATTGTGAGAGTTCGGAAGGAGTTACAATTGCAACTCACATACGTTTGTCATGACGCAATTATTTGAACAATATCAATTGGAATAAAAGGACCAGGTTTTATTCTTGATACATTTTAGTATTTGTTTTTATTTCAAGTAAATTTAAAAGTAAAAGTTGCGTTTTTCCATGTGGATAGACCACGTTCAAGTGTAATTCCTTGGCAGCAGAGAGCTACTTGTGAATATTCCTGTGCCGGATGAGATTTGCATTTCGCGAGAAGCATTTCGAGCAGGTTTCACATCGGAATGGCTTTTCGCCAGTGTGGACTCGCATGTGATTCATAAAATCTGGCTTACGATATGTTGTGTATTTTTTGCACAAATCGCATCGGTATCCGCGTCGCTTGCAGTTGGCTTCATGATTTTCCTTCTTCTTCTGTTGTGCGAAGTTCTTGAAGCAAGATGAACACTTGAATTTCAATGGACGAGGACGAGGATTGGTGTGAGTTTCGCGATGGCGTTTCAAAGCAGTTGGGTGGTTGAATGTCTTTGAGCATTGGTCGCATTCGAATGGTCTCTCGCCATTATGCACACGCAGATGACATTTCAAATTCATCTTATGCAAAGCAGAGTATTCCTTGCACAGATGACACTCGTAGCGACGTACCTTGCAAGCGGTTTCATGTTCCACCTTCTCCTCGCTGCGATGAAATCCTTGCGAACAATTTGAGCAACTGAACAGAAATTCATCGGCGTGTTCTTTCATGTGCGATTGGAGATGTTGTTTCCGGGTGAATCGTTTCTGGCACACGCTGCATGGAAATGGTCGTTCGCCAGTGTGCGTGCACATGTGTCTTTTCAAACCGGTTCTAGAGTCGGTGACATAATCGCACAATGAACACTTGTGTCGCTTTCCATTTGCCTTGCCTTCAGCTGGTTTCTTTTGGCTACCAAAACTATTGGCTGTGCTACTTTTCCCGTCATCCGGTCCTCTTGATTTTGATTCAGAATTGTTCTTCTCCACATTGTTTAGCGGCTTTCGATTTTCGTCAGAATCCGTCCGTGGAACTTGATTCGTCTCATCCTCAACCTTTTCAATCTTCCCTTTCGATTTTACCTCATCCAAACCATAGAAATCGAAGCAAACGTCGCTGTTTTTCACTTCTGCACCACCAATCGAGTTGTCCAACGATCCAATGGCTGTGTGTATTGACCGCGATACCATCAAAATTTCACCGGAGACTTCAATCTTTTGTTCGACGGTCGGCTCCACTTTAATTTCCATTTTGCACAAAATCGAGTCATTTTGAATCGCAATGTCATTCGATTCGTGATTACCAGGCGGCTCTGTACCGTGACCATCCATTGCGACGGCGCTGTTTTTAGTGCTGTCAATCAGAAAATCAGAATGACCTTTTGTTAGAACCACACATGAAAACTGGGAAAAATACACTTTTTTGTTAGAACCTTTCTGCACAAATCTTTTTATTCTAAGGAATTGATCACAAATCAAGTGTTTTATTTCAAAAATAAATTGGTCAAATATCCAAACTCAGCGAATAAACTACAAAACATAAATTGCGTGTTGAAATGACTTTGCTGAGCGAAGCAAAAATGGCGTCGCGAATAAAAGAAAATATTTAGTTTGACTTGTAGTCGATGCTCTGTGATGTGCATTGTGCTGAAACGATAACGAAATAGCAATGGTCGAATAGCGCACACAGTCACACACCGCAATGACAAGTGTCAAAAGATGAATTTCGAAACATAGTGTAGTGTTGCCAGTGACTTTTGAACTTTTCGATGGATTCGGCTTGCACATTTCCAAAATGCACGGATTATAATTTGTAAGCAGCGGATATTTTATTTCCGCAAACTAATTTTCTTCTCCGCACTTCGATAGATGTCCTCTCTATCAATTCGCTAAGAAATCAAGGTTTAAAGAAATAGCAATTGCAAGTGGAATTTACGAATGGATATTCGATGTCAATGCTTTTTGTCTCTGCACACATTTCTTCGAAACCGATCCTAAAACTTGACACCGAATAAGCGTTGAATCTTGGCCAATTTTAGGAAAAGTAATAAATCTTAAAGCTCCCAACGATCTCTGGGTTAAAGAGAACCCAAAAACTTGTTTTTATCAAACGATACCAGTCAAATCGGTATTTTAATTGTGTTCACAGCGGATTGACATTGTGGATCGCAATTGATTATAATCAATGATTCAAGCAAAGTTCAAAAGCTTCTTGTCATAGCATGAGAATAATTTTTCTGTTCCTATAGATGATAATCTATTATTGATAGAAAATAACATATAGCATTTCTCTCACTAAGTTGGCAGCTAAGAAACAAATCAATGAACCAATTTGTCATCATTCAATGACGGGAATAATTTCAATTGAAATAAAAACACCAGATTTTATATTTGATACAATTTCGTATTTGTTTTTATTTAATGCAAATTGATGATCAAAGTTGTACCTAAAGATGTGATCGATTTCAAGTTTAATTCCTTGGCAGCAGACAGCTACTTATGAATCTTCTTGTGTTTGTTGAGAGTTGACTTTTGCGAGAAGCACTTCGAGCAGGTTTCACATCGGAATGGCTTTTCGCCAGTGTGGATTCGCATGTGATACATCAAATGTCCTTTAAGATGAGTTGTGTAGCTCTTGCACACATCGCATCGGTATCCGCGTCGCTTGCAGCTGGCTTCATGATCTTCTTTTTCTTTCTGTTGTAAGAAGCTTCTGAAGCAAGATGAACACTTGAATTTCGATGGACGAGGATTGGTGTGAGTTTCGCGATGGCGTTTCAAAGCAGTTGGGTGGTTGAATGTCTTTGAGCATTGGTCGCATTCGAATGGCCTCTCACCGGTATGCACGCGCAGATGATGTTTGAAATGATTCTTATGCAAAGTAGAGAATTCCTTGCACAGATGACACTCGTAGCGACGAACCTTGCAACCAGTTTCGTGTTCCACCTTCTCCTCGCTGCGATGAAATCCTTGCGAACAATTTGAGCAGCTGAATAGAAATTCATCAACGTGTGTTTTCATGTGCGATTGGAGATTCCGTTTTTGGGTGAATCGTTTTTGGCAGAGGCTGCATGGAAATGGTCGTTCGCCGGTGTGCCTGAGCATGTGCCTTGCTAAATCGCTCTTATTGGCTGTAATATACTCGCACAATGAACACTTGTGTCGCTTTCTATTCGCATTGCCTTCGGCTGGTTTTTGCTTGCTACCAAAACTGTTTGCTTTGCAAATTTTCCTAGTTTTGGCTGATCTGTTCTTTTCCACATCAACTGGTACACCTGAATTCTGCCTCTTTTGCTCCATAAAACACTTGTTGACGTTGTTTCGCGGCTTTTGATTTTCGTCAGAGCCCATCCGTGGAACTTGATTCGCTTCATCCTTGACCATTTCAATCTTCCCTTCCGATTTTACCTCATCCAAATCGTAGAAATCGAAGCAAACATTGGTACCATTTACTTGCTCGCTACCAATCGCATTGGCAGGTCTTCCATTGGCTGTGTATGCTGATCTCGATACCACCACCATACCATCGTCTTCTTCTGTCTCTTGTTTAACAGACGGCTCCTGTTTTATTTCCACTTCGGACGAAATCGATTCATTTTGTGATGCAATGTTATTGAATTGGTGCCTATCGGGTGGCTCTGTACCGTGTCCATTCATTGTGATGTGGATTCTGTGCTGTCAAAAAGAAAATCAGAATGACTGTTCATTAGAAAACAGACAAACACTTAAATAAAAACTACACTTTGGCATTAAAACTAACCAGAGAACACGAAGAACTGTTTATTTTGATGTACTGGCCACAAATCAAGCGTTTTGCTTCGTTAGTACAAAAATATAAACTAAAAAATTCCAAACTCAGCGAATAAACTCCAAAACACGAATTTTGTGTTGGAATGACTTTGTTTGGCAAGGCAAAAATGGCGTCGCGAATGAAAGAAAATATTTAGTTTGACGTGTAGTCGATGCTTTGTGCTGAAGTGATGATGAAATAGCGATGGACGAACAGCTCACACAGACACACATACTGTGTAACATATTGTAGTGGCAAGTGTCAATTTTCGAAATACGGTATGGTGTTGCTACAGTCACTTTCGAATTGAAACTTCAGTTTGTTGTTGAAAGTGGAAAAAATAAATGTTTTAGTCAATAGAAGTGCCTCATCTATCATCTTAATGGAAAGAGACAACACAAACGTGCTTATTTTAAAAATTATTTTCTTTTTGCATGAGAGAGTTTGAAAAAAGTGCACATCAGATAGAACTCCAAAACAGATCATGATTTTGACAAGAATTTCGCATTTAGCCCAAAATCGGTAGATGTCGCGGCCAACCGCAATCAATTCAAATTTTCTTTTATGTGAATTTGATCATTTCTTCAGTTGAACAAGTGTGAGTTTTATTCCCAATTTTCGATAAGTTTTATTTTAATTGTCTCAGCGGTAGGAGAAAGGTTTCAAATAATCCGAATATAAAACTTCATAATATTTTCTTCTTTTTGAGTTCTGGAATTCAAAATCAGTCATCTCAAAAGCCAGTAGTTTAAAATCAATTCCCTTAAAATGTTCAGACTTTAAATTACCATTCAGATTCTAATCAATTCTGTTTGATCTCGATGCTGCTGAAAAGTAACCGGTTGTTCAGTTAACCTCTCCCGAATAATCTACTTGACAGTGCCAGTGCTTATTAGAATTCAAAATCACAGTAGCTCGGATTCGGTTTCAAAACTTTATTGGGAGACATCCCAATTAATTTAATCAATTTCCCTTCGTCCACAGGTAAACGATCCACTCATTGAAACATAGAACGTAGAAATATAAGAACCGCGATGTGAAAAACGATAGAACGTAGTTTTTGAATATAGAACAGATTTGGACGACACAAACATATATTTCAGGGCTCATATGTTAAACTTTTCATAGAATCATTGTTTCAATAAAACTCTATACAGAGCTGTAGAATGAAACTGCGAGTTCATTGATTTTTTTTTGCCATAAAACCATAGTATGAATGCGGTGCCTTGCAAATCTAGAAAGGAAATTTTATTCAAAGTTTCAAGAGAATACTTTTTTAGTGCAAATTCGATGAAATAAGGTAAAGAAAATACCTCGGTAAAATAATTCAAAGTGCATTGAATGTTGAAAAAGGGACTCCCTTTAAGAGAGACACATTTTTAATTACTTCTGCCCAAATTGATATGAAATTGATAACTGAAAACTATATCACTTCAACATTGATCTACATATATATATCAAACTTGAATTAAATCTCAATGAAAATCAGGCTTTCAAGACTTGCAGACTTTCAAATTTCTCCAAGAAAGTTTTTGACTACTATGTTGAGTCGTAATACATACATATCGAAATGACCCGGTTATTCGTCTAGGCGATAATTTGGCAAATGTACTGACGACAAACAAGATCCGTGCATTCGACTATTTTTTCTCCAATTTCTTCAACATTATTTGGCACTTTCACAATATGGTGTGTACTTCGAATCACTTTGATTACCTTCAGCTTTGGTGGTATATTTGGTTGAAAAATGGTTTTATTTATGTTTTCATCATCGTGTGATATCAGAAGAAATTAATTTCCTTAATTGCGTCAATTTAGTATGTGGCTCGAGATTGGGATTGAGAGTGAATAAAGAGGGGAAAATGTGACGAGAGATAGAGAGAGAACGGACAGAGATAGAGATAGATAGAAAGAAAGCAAAAGAGCAATAAAATAAATGTTCAAAATTCTCTCATACCAATTATATCAAGAAAACTTATCCAGGTGGAACGTTAATAGTGACATTTCAGAGTGGTCAATAAAAGACAAATGAGAGAAATTTCGGTCGCTCCGTATGATTGCTCAATGGCTACACAAATGCAATGGGATAGGTTCCTTTTGTCGAAAGCCACATAGAGTTCTATCTGTGATGCAATCAAATGAATGTGTTTTTATTCAATTCAATTCACGATGGTCCGTTCATCTCTGGTTCTCTTTCGAAAACACGCATTTATTATATGCGAGCAGTGCATCCAGGTAACGGTCGACATGAATAAAAACGACGAAACAGGTTTCTCATTAAATTTAATTACAAACAAATCGTGAATGCATTCAACACAATAAATGCGACGACACGATTTTTCTGTTAAACCGCTGGAAAAAACGAGAAAAACACGATCACAACAAACTGAGTTCGATTTAACGACAAATTAAAACATTTTCATTTGGTTGTCAACCGTTGTTCAAATGCGACAGTCTGACTTCGTTCATTTCAATTGGCGCAAAAAAACAAAAAACGTTTTCACTATTAAAAATGCTGCAATTTCATTCTTTCCATGGGCCAAAATGCTTTCCATTAAAGTAATCAATCGGAAAGTCATTGTCCGTTCACGGATCACATCCTCATTTGTGAGACATAACAAAAAAAAACATACAATTTGAGTTTTGCACAATAGGAAAATATTCTGAGGAGGAATGCACAGTGAGGATTTTCAAACGAATAGCGGAAGAAAAGAAGAGAGAAAAAAATCCGTTCGTTCATTGTCCGAAAACTAATAAACATTTCGTTGCCATTCAGATTTGAATGTAAACGAATTGTTGCTATGCTGAGCCAGCACAAATCAAATGATTATTTTTTTTTCGTCTATTGACCGCAAGTAAACTGCCATGAGATCATTAGCCCAGGAAAAAAGTATACACAAATTGAGAACAAGACTCACATTCGGAATGTGATTCAATTGTGAAGTTTCGGAAGGCAAATTTACTAGAATAATCGATGGGCATAAACGAATGAGTGCACAAAGTGCTTGCAAATGGTCCACGGATCAATAAACATGTAGAAATGCATTTTGGGCGCTTTGGTTTGGCTCGATGGAAGAGAGAGAGAGAGAGAGAGAGAGAGAGAGAGAGAGAGAGAAAGGGCAGAGGCAAAGGCAAAAGTAAAGCCAAAAGTAGAGACAGAAGTAGAGGCAGAGACATAGACATAGACAGAGACAGAGACAGAGTCAGAGACAGAGACAGAGTCAGAGACATGGAGAGGAAGATGGAAAGAAAGAAGAGAGAAAAAGAAAGGGAGAACACGAGATGGACACATAGAAGCATTAAGTGCCATAGAGCAATATGTGGACTCATTGACTAATATAAAGAACAAAAAGTCTGAATAAAAGCGAAAGAGCTCGAAAAATGTGCCCTCTCTATCTTCATGCCATTGTCTTCGTACGCGTATTGCGTATGTGGTATCCGGATGGTGTGTGTGGTTTGTTTGATCTCTGTGGAATTGTGACAGGTCACCATGATTTATTATTGGCCAATTTATAATCGCACTGACAATATTTTCACTCTCTTTCGCTTTTATCCCGAATTCGTATTATTTTTGTTTGCTCAGCCACGCACATCTATTGAGACTGCCCCGGACACGAAATAAATATATCTAATTTCAAAAGGAAACAGTCGAATGCATTTAAATTTAAAATAAAGATGCGGTTGATATGGACGCGTAGTGCATCCTTTTGTATTCATTTTGCCGCTGCTTTTCATTTTGTTTCGTCATCGCAGTGGTTGTTGCTTTGTTTCCCCAGTGGAAATAAAGACCATGGTCAAGTGATTACGTATCGATCAAAAGAAACAAACAGAAAAAAATGTAAAAGGCTCGGCATTAAATCATTTTACGTCATTCTTCACGTTTTGTAATATCACCATAGTGCGTGTTCTATTGCAAGCCTTTTCGTCTCATGTTCCCCCTTTCGAGCCATTTGTTTCTATCTACTTCATTTACCAAAGCGTATGTGACTCGTTGCTGCGTTCATTCGCCAAATGAATTTATGTTTTATTGAAATGTATTCATTAAAAAAAATTCGGTCGATTCTCATCCCATTCACGGTGGCCTTGGTCCAGCCAATGCCGATTCAGCAAAATAATTTAACAGAATGAAAAATAACAGTAAATAAATAAAATTGCTCATATATGCGGTTAACCGGATCTTCAAGAATATATTATTGTTCACTAACGGCTTGGCTCCGAATGCATTGAATACACACACAGCCTTTTCATATCTTATTGCTTGTGATCATCGTCGCATTCAAATATTATACAAAATATTTCATCTATTACCGAAATTTTTCCAATGATATGAATCGTAACCCGGTTGCCCATTCGGTGGAAAGAGTTACAAGAATGTGAAAAATGAGAATTTGAGCCGAACGCAAGAGAAAAGAGCCGAAGGAGAGAAGAGAGTCGAACGGGAGAAAAGACCAGAAAGAGAGAGAAAAAAACAGTTGGACAAAACAAACATGCGTTCCTATAGGAACCACATATGAATCATGAATCACATACCACCATGGTGATGAATGCTCAAATATTGCGTACGCTCTCTCAAAAACTAAGCAAATATTTTTTTTTATCCCATTTCGTCATTGAAAATTACCTTTTCCTGTTTCTATGTCGAATATTCTATTCTTTGTTTGTTTTTTGTGAAAGAGACCATATATCGAAGTATCTGTTTGATGTGGCTCTTTTTTTTGTTTTTTTTTCTTTCGTCATTCGCCTTTGCATCTTTTCAATTCGGGTTTTTTGTTGTGTATGTGTATTTTGTGATAAATCACATTTTCGCATATAGGATTTTGCACACGACGAATCATTTCGAATACGTTGAATCAACGTCGTTGATTTA